GCTCTTGCCACTCTTCTATGAGAAGGCGGCTACATCAGCTATGATCAAGCATGGGTTAGATGTGGCCCATTCAGCAACACAATTCATCAATCCCGGTCAGACACCAATTGTAGCATTTGATGAACCACTATATGCACTGGCCAAGTTCACTCAGTGGGGAGGACAAATTTGTTATAATGATTAGCGGTCTGCATATAGAGAAGGCAATGTGGAATACGTATGGTGACTACTTGGAGGGTTCTGGTTGGACCAATGCGTTGACACAAGCAGGTGTTGCATCATCAGGCACTTCCAACTTTTTTCTGAAAGCCACACATATCACCAGAACAAGACATGCCCACCAAGTGACTGCACTTGCTCTCGCAAAGCTACAGCAAGATGCATTCCTGGACACAGTTGGGCCACACAGTGATCAAGCCAAGGAGGCATGGCGGTTGGTAATGGTCGAGAAGAGTCCAACATTTCAGTATTGGGATACAGTTCTAAACATGGAACTTAATGGCCTCATCTTTATCAGATCACACCGCGAGAAAAACTTTCCGTTGTACGTGAAAAGCCTGAAGGCATTGGTTCCATGGTTCTTGTGTTAGACCACCACAACTATGCACGGTGGCTGCCGATATACATTCGCGATATGGATACTCTACAGCCCCCAATTCTCAAGCAGTTTAAAGAAAATGGTCCCTGGGTCATTCAAAAATTCAGCAACAGGTTCTCGGCCATGCCAATAGATCAGGCCCATGAGCAGAACAATGAAGCCGTCAAGGGCTCTGGGGGTGCAGTTGGTCTGATGGAAAATCCTTCTGCCTTCAGGAAATGAATGGTGTCGGGACCTGAACAAGCGAGATTGCTGACAGAATTTAAAGATGAATATCTGTCCAATGAAGAAATCGAGCACAATCATCATCATGAAGAAGGATTGTACACACAGACGACGTTCAGGGAAGAGGCTGTATGTCTTTCTAATGTCATCAGTGAATTTGGTAACCCATTTGTCGACGACAGCGATGAGTTATTGGCTCTAGACACGCGTAATGTGTTGGATGAGTCTGTTGTGAATACAGTCCGAACAGGTCAGGGATTAGGGAAAGATCCGTATGAAAAATATTGCAAAGAAGTGACAATCGACTGTACACTCTCCCATTCATGTGGCCATAAAGAAGAACGCTCTTCCTCTCTTCCGGTGCCCACAGAGAAAATCCAAGACAAAACAAGCTGGGACGATCTCATTACTGAAGAACGATGTTGCCCTGTTCTCTCGCTTGTACATCATAATGCAGCACAGAGAGAGTGACATGAGTTTATTCTTCAAACACGAGAACCATGCATTCCCCCCTTCACTGTCTGATGGTGGGAAGTTACGTCTAGAAAAGAAATCAGATCTGCTGAACATTTTGACCCTGGACAATCAGGGTGATCCTCCGGAGTCCTTCGATGTGAAGCTTCTCAATGGTGCTGCTGTGGTGCACTTTCTTCCCTGTGCCGGCAGTGCAACATTTGAAGGTTATGCTAACGGTGTCTTTGTTCCATACATCATGAAACAGTTAGAACATGCCAACAGAGTTGATATAGTATGAGACACGTATATTGCCAGCAGCATTAAGGAATCCACGAGAGAAAAACGAAGAAAGGGCATTCGCCGAAGGGTTGCTGGTAAGAACAAGCTCCCAGGAAACTGGGCTGAATTCCTACGTGATGCAACAAACAAACAGGAACTCTTTGCATTCCTCTCCAACAAGATTGCTACCTTGGACTGCCCTCCAAACAAGGAAGTCGTCATAACATCTGGATCAATGACCATTCTTTGAGGAACCAATCGTTCGATGCCACTAT